CAGGACTCCCGCTATGGCAGTTCGTTGCCTGACCAGCTGACGCTGAAATTGGCCGTTTTCACCGACACCCGGCTATGGCAGTATTTTGTCAAAGAGTTCGGCGAGGAATCAGCCGAAAGTGAGCTTGAGGACTTCGTACTGGCACTGATCAACAATGTAAGTTTGCGTTTGTACGAAAAGCCAAATCCCTTCAAGGTTCGATGACGTTGCATGTGTTGAATACTTAAAGGCAATATTAGCATCAATTACTTCTATAATTGATGCTAATAATTGCTTTGTTAATGCTTTAACTTAATTATATATTTGCAGGTTAAACTTTTATATCAGCAACCGAGCATCACTCCAAAGCTAAACATAGTGATCGTCAGGTATGAGATGTGGAAGAATCAACCGGTACAAATCTACAGCAGCTTCAAGCGCCATCTGCTGTTGTATATATATATATTTCTCTTTCAGAAAGCGCTAGCTGCAAGCAAACACAAGCATGGGGAAGCTCAGTTATATTTGGATGCATTTTGTTCCTACCAGTTTCGCATGAATGACGCCTCCGATAACGGGTGGAATCATGCTACGCTACTTACAGGGTACGAGTTACTTCACTCGAAATTTCAACTGTTGGAGAAGTTTAAGTCTGTCTGCAATTTGCAGTATCTGAAACGCATTATATTCTGATTACAGGCTATGGATCTACTCTCTTATGCGCTGGAAGGAGTGGAGATTCCTATCCATTGAGAACGCAGATTCATCAGTTCATTCCTTTGAGTTCGGAACTGATCCACAGTAGCTGTTTATGTGTGCTCGGAAGAAACACTGGCTGGAATGAGTCGTTTAAGAGCAGACCTTATCGAACTCGACGTTGTCGTTGTCGTCCCCCTCAGGCTTGTGATCGCGAGCATAAGTCTGTACAGTTATCACAGGTCCTCTGCCTTAATTTAATGATTACCTTCTCATGTCGTATTTAAATGGAAAGCTCTCTAATGAAGCTCCTGTCAGTCTAGTGGATTCAAAACATTTACTTCAGTATTTCGTGATTTTGCTGTGCTGACTGTACGAGATGATCAAGTCACTGCGCAGTCATGTGATAAGGAGTTCATATATACATAATTGCCAAATATCAATTTCTATTTCCTTTCTACCCTGTTTCAGCATAACGGACATGAATCACAGGGTCTATGCAAACACATGGCGAAGCTCTACTCAACCAAATGAATCTGGCCTCACTTTCTTTACCACCTCCCGTCCTCCGCAGTGACATAATGATTTTAGCCGCTTAAACTTGTCTAGTGTTCACTGGAATTTCCGCATGAAATCGATCGACTACGTTGATTTGATAATCTCAGCGATGACCACTGGGTCTGGCTAGTTGGACTGCAGATACTGACTAGTCTATGTTAACTGAATTGAATTCAAGTAAGGTGGCTGCAGTCTCGATATTCGGTCGTCTTGTCCTGCTTGCTACGTTTACCAGAAGTGGAAGAATATATTGTCATAAGACGAGAGCTTCAAATATATAGTTGGTATAAGCGAAACTGACCGGACAGAACAGAACTCATTGTCCGGGCCGCATCAAAGTTCATTACAGCTGTGAGACAGTGTCAGCCATTCATTGTTTTGCAAAGCTCTGAAAAACTCTGTTTGCATTTGGAAAAGAAAAATAGTAAACATCGTCTAAATCTGTCAAGAGGTGCGTCACGGTAAG